CGCTCCCGGGCGAGCACATGGCGGCGGTGACCACAGCCGCGCCATGTTCACTCCTTCATGCCCCTCCCTTCTCCCTCCGGCCGGTCCCCGCCGGGGCACACCGCCATTACCGTTCTGCGTGCGGACCGTATCGCCGCTGGTGCGCTCGCCGAACACGGCCAGGGGCCCCTCCATGGCCGACATGTTCCCGGCCGGCCGCGGCACTCCAGTCACGGCAGAGGCAGGGCGCGGAGCGGCGCGACGGCCCGACCGGCGCAAGGCACGCTGGGACCCGCCCCCCGCCAGAGGGCGGGGCGACGGGGGCCGGCCCTGCCAGCGCTGGGGGGGCGGAGACACCCCGAGCCTGACCAATCCTGGACCGCGGCACCGCCCAGCCTCGAGCCGCGATTGGCGGGCGCGGCTGGACAAAGCCGGCGCGCGACGAGGGGCGGGGGCGCTTCCAGGAGCTTCTAGAAGGTGGCGGGGGTTTGCGCGCGCAGGCGCGCGGGGTCCCGCCGGTCCCGGGGGAAAGAATGGGCGCGGAGTGGGCGGGGAGCGGCAGCGGGAGATCTGTGCTATCCAGCCCAGGGGAATAACCTGCTCCGGGATGTAGGGACCGTCCTCGGGATGAGTGTGGCTCTTAATGAACTGTGGTTCTCAAACGCGTTCCCCATCGCTCAGGATTGTACCCCAAGTCCCGGGGGAATGCTGCAAATTCCGAGACCCATCTCAGATTCTGAGTAGATAAAAGACAAAGGGAGAAGCTGAAGACCTCCCTGCTGATGATCCTGAGAGCCTTGCAGCTCTGGTGACGCTTTAGGCAGTACCCTTAGAATGAGAATGACCTTATTTCACGACCGAGATTGCAGTTGATAATGGCACCTTTGGTACAATGTTATTTCTTCTAGAAAGCTGCCATTACTCCTCTGAAGCGAAAGCAACAGTTGCATTGTTCGAAGCGAAGGTCTCTGAGTTATAACTATTCCTATTACACTACCACTATTTCCACAGCCAGTGGAGCGAGGCTGCAGGAGCCGAGGCCGGCACTGAGGCGGGCCCGTGTGCCCGTCCGGCGGCGGCAGACCCGCACCCGCCGGGCACAGCGGCGCCGTGAGCAGCGCCACGGAGCTCTTGCAGCGGCTCGGACCTCTGCGGTCCGCGCAGCCGCTGGGAGCTCTCCGCCCACCCTCGCCATGCCCCCAGGCTCCCGCTCTCTTAGGCCCGTCCCAAGAGACGCAGACCTGGCCTCTGCGGCCCGGGTATCTCCCTCAAGCCCTCTTTCCACGGGGAAGAGCTAAAAGATGACCCCTCGGGTCGGGGAAGTGTTTTCTGCCCTATTCTGTGAGACGTGACCGACACCAGAGCACAGCTCCCCGGGGTGCTCGCGGTGTAAGCGGCGCTAGGTTTTCTCTCGGTGCTTCCGCCTGACCCCGCCCGCGCCGGGCGGGATTGCCGCGGCCGCTTCCGCGGGAAGTGCCGCCCCGCGCGCACGGCGGCGCCCGGGTGTCCGTGAGCGGGGGGAGCGGAGGTGACGCCGCCCGGGGCTGTGGGGGCGCCGGCTCCCCATGGCGCTGAGCAGCCCCAGCCGCCTGCTGCTGGCCGCCGGCCGGCTCCGGGCAGCGGGTAAGCTCGCGGGTCGCCGTGCTGGCCGCTCCCGGCGGGGCAGCGCTCCCGGGGCCTCTTGGCGGGGCTGCTGTGCCAGGGAATGAAAGATTATGCCTTGTTATTCGGTAGCGCTGTCGCTGCTTCGTTGTGCGATTCGTTTTCAGTATTTTGTAAAGCTTTGGTCCTGGGGGTTTCGTAGTCACGTGTGAGTTTATATTCTAGATACGAGTTTTGGAACAGCGTTTATATACTAGCAGTTCACCTCATAAATTTGAGAAACAGGCTGAGATCTTGTTATCCATCTGTTAAGCATGTTTTTAAAAAAAAGAAAAGCTGATTTTTCCCTGCTGACTTTTACAAGCTGTATCATTTCTGTACTGTATTCATTCTACTGTTTGCACTACATTCTTTTCAATCTGTGTGGGGTTTTTTCCTGCTCTCCCCCCAAGGTCTTCGTTTTGCATCAACTACAGCCCATCTCAAAACTGAGACTGAAGTGGACACAAGCGAAAATGAGGTTGTTGCCCCAGATTTCACTAACAGAAATCCTCGGAACTTGGAGCAGTTGGCCCTGGCTAGGAAGGAGCGTGGCTGGAAGACAACGTGGCCAAAGCGTGAGTTCTGGCATAGGTGAGTCAGAAAGTCACCTATGAAAGTCACTTCAGCAGCAATGAAGACTCCAAAAGGAAAAAAAAAAAAAAAAACAAACCCCAGAAACCCACCAGGTAGAAACTATTCAAAATGGTTTTTTTGGGTTGCTGCATCAGTTGTCATGCTAGTGTTTATTAATGAGCAGGTATCTTCTGTGTTAAGAAAACAGCAGACTAGCATAACATGAAGGTCAGCAAGTGCAGTGAAGATCTTTCCATCTTCTCATTAACGCAGCAGTAATATTTCTTAAGCAGCTGCTTTTTAACTCAGGATTCTCTTAGCCCTGTGCTGACCAGCTTCATTGTTTTATTTGAGACAACATAATTGTCTGGGTTTTTTTCTTTGTTGGGTTTTGGGGTGGAGGGGGTTTGGTTGCTTTGTTGGGCTGGTTTGTTTTTTATTTGCTTGTCCTCTAGAAAATAAGTTCATTTTAATCTAGGGTTTCAAAATCATTATTTTGTTCTTGAGGGGAAATCTACATTCAGTTTGTTCATACCGTGAAATCTGGTAATTGTCTCAGTGCAATAAGAAACAGTTACTCCTAATAAATACTTTGTAGTTACGTGTAGAGATTTATGAGGTACTCTCTGCCCGTGCAGATTTCAACAAGTTGTTACCTGCTGTGGCAGCACAAGCATCTAAGAGACCGTATAGCAGCCCTAAAGCTCCATTTCTGCTGCAGCAGTTGCTCTTGTCTAGCTCATATGTACCTGTTCCACACTGTGCAGGTGTACAGTGCTTGATTTGGAGTGTGTGCTGGTCTAAGGCAACGTAGGACCTGAGTGACTGATGAAAAGTTGCTCTTGGAATTTCACTCTTCTCAACTAGTAATATGAGTCCTATTTGTATCCTAATAAGAAAAACTCATATATATAATGTAATGCAATATAATATCATGCTAGTACATTCAATTTTATTTCACAAAGGGAGTCATTTAAGCATATGAATGTGTTCTCTGGAAAAGACATCATAATACCGTGTTATTTCTTTCCCGCACTCAGATTGCGGCTTGAGCGGACACAGCATTATGTAGAAGCCTTCGTTGAGCGCTCCAATGGGGATGTTGTGGTATCTGCCTCCACCCGAGAGTGGGCCATAAAAAGACACTTGTACAGTCCCAAGGGAGTAGCCGCATGCAAAAACCTTGGCCGTGTAATGGCACAGCGCTGTTTGGAAGCAGGAATCAACTTTGTGAACTTTAAAGCCATTATCCCCTGGGAACATCGTTGTGACTCGGCAAGTACCCATCTCCTTATTCCTTTGGCTCTTTTTTCCTTTTTAGGCATTAATTTTACATCCCTTCACTGTTAATTTTCTTCATGTGGTTTGACAGACCCTCCTTACAACACTCAAAAAGGCAGCTTTGACAAGCTGCAGTTCCTGGTAGCATGCTTCCATGAGGCTGTTAACCTCTGCCCTCTGTCTAACATGTCCTCACTGATATTTCAGTACAGATGGCTTTTCTTCGTATTTATTCATGTCTCTATCTTTTAAACAAGATTCAGGAATTCGAAAAAGCAATGGAGGAGGGCGGTGTTGTTCTGCGTGAGCCACGAAGAATCTATCGGTAAAATGGAGACTTCTAGGAAGACTTTCCAAGGAAAAATGATCACTTCTTTAAGTGTGTGTGGTGAAGGACCAGAGCTGGAAAAAATTGGAATGTGTCATCTTATAATAAAATACATTTAAATGGACAAAACTGTGTCATATTCTTGATTCTAAAATGATCAACACCTTTAAGGCTAGAATAAACTTATCATAGTTCAGCCTAATAGGTTGACAGAATTTACTTCTTAATTCAATTTAAAGTATATTTTATTTTTGGTATTTCGTTTTGTTTGTTCTAACCTGAACTCTGGAAATGCTTTGATATTTGATCCCTGTATGCTGACATAATTCACATGTCATTATGTGAATGTTGAGAACTGTGATAAAGTGTATGAGCTAATCGTGGTAAAAAATTATGGAATTTGCCTAACTCATCCTTGTAGGTTTCCAGCAACCCTGACATTCTAGCTACTTAACCTCATGGGCGTAGGAGGAAGGCTGCACAAATACCAGCTGCAGGGATTCAGAAGCCCGATTGTCTCCTGTGGCTGCCTGCTGCTTGTCCACAGACTTGCTGCAGGCAGTGCCTCTGGCAGGTGATCTGCACTGAGTGTGTTCAGGGTGTGTCCCCCCACAGTAAGTGTGTGAACCCCTCTGACAAGCAGCACCTGGTTCAGAGAAGCCAGGCTGGATCAGTGCAACTCCCGTACCTGCATTCTGGCGCTCTGCTCGCTACTACGCGTTTGCAGCCTCGGGGGAGAGGAGAAATGAACGCCGAGGTTGTGTGCCGGGGTTTAGCAGCGAGCGCCGTGACCCCGGGCCCAGTTCTGCCATCTGTACTGAATCCTCAGCGTTCAGCTGACACGATTCTTAAAAAACACTCCCCGTCCCGTGTTCCCGGCGCCCGCATTACCCTCGGACCTGCCGCGGTCCTGCCTTTGCCATTAATTGCTGCGGGCGAGTCCCGCCGCGCGGGGCGGTGCCGGGCACGCAGGCGCGCCGGGCCGGGGCCCCGGGGAGCGCGGCGATGGAGGTGGGCGCGGAGGCCTTCGCCCAGCTCCTGCCGCACCTCAGGCGACGCGTCCGCAGCGCCGCCTTCGTGGGTGAGCCCCGGGGGCAGCCCGCCCGCTCTGAGCCGTGCCCTCGGCCGCCCCTTGTCCGGTGCTTAGCCTTGTCCGGCCCAAGGGTGCGGGCACTGAGGTGTGTTGCAGCGGATAATGGCGCTGCTGTGCAAAGAAAGAGCGGGCACCGAGGCTCGGGGTTTAAAACTGGCAGGAGGGGTTGGGGAGAGAGCCCTCGCTGAGCTGCTGGCCTCGGCTCGGAGGGCTGGGGGCTCCGGAGGTTATGAGGTTGTGGGGGCACACACGCTGCACAGGGGGAGGCCGGCCCCTCCTGTGGCACGTGTGTATGGCCGTGCCTCATCCTGCCACGGGGATCAGGGAGCTGGAGATTTCAGTCCCACAGCAGTTGGTGGCCTTTTCTCTTGAGCCTGCTGCCGGTGGGTTTGACAGAGGTTACGGTGAAGAGAAGTGTTTGAGAGAGCACCATCCTGGTGCTGGTGAAGTACGTGCCTCAAATTTCAAATTCTCGTGTGTTGTTTCCACCTCAACAGCCCTTGATACGGAGTTTACTGGCTTATATTCAACTTTCCCACAGAGCAGCGAGCCCAGGTAAAGCTGTTGGACTTGAAACGTGAGGGAGACCTGTTACTCTAGCTCTGTGAGAGAGCAACCTGAGTGTAACAAATCATGTGTCCCCTCTCCCCAATTCTGGGTTTTGTTCCTAGCCTGTTTGATTCCCCTGTGGAGCGGTATCTGAAGATCAGGCAGAGTGTTCAGCGCTTCACTGTTACTCAGCTTGGTAAGTGCTGCTCTGACACAGAAAGCGATCTCCTGAGGTCTTACAGGTAACCAGCCTTTTGCTGATAGGTGGGTCCTGCAGGTGGCTCTGGCCGTAATATACTTGTTACAGTGACATTTGTTTGGGTTTTTCTTCCCCTCCCTGATGTTTAATACTATTAACTTTTTAATATTTTAAATAATGTAATGCCAGGTGGGCTGTATACTTTTTACAGGTCTGAAGTTGATTATATTTAAAGGTTGCAGTTAAAAATACAGGGCTTTTAAAGCAGAGGATGCAAGCAAGAAGCATATAATGGCAGCTCCTATTCAAAGCCATGTCATTTGACGTAGTGCATGAGTAAGGGGACTATCAGAAGAAAATGAAGGGTACTATTTCTGGTACTCCTAAAATAACAAAAATCAACATGAGAATGGGCCTGTGGAGGAGGGCATTGACAGTTAAGAACCAATAAGAAATCAAAAAGAAAGCTCCAAAATCACTTGAAATGCTTTTCAAAGCCTTAGGGTATGTGAGATGTTAGTGTGCCTTTTAGGGATTAACAGAAAAAAAACAAAACCTGAGAAGTTAAACCCATGTTTCAATACTCTCTGGTGCCCAGGTCCTTCCAAACACTTTTGTAGTGTAGTTGGACCCACAGACCCATCTGTGCATGCATAGGTAGAGACTTCGATCACCAACTTGCCTCTTGCCCATAGCTCAGTCTTTGTTATTTAATCAGACTTGACTTCTTTTCCCACTTAGCAGTAAAAGCTTGTCCTTGTTCAGCTCACAGGGAGCTGACAAGCGGCCTGGAAGTTGCTATTAGGATTTGCACTGTGACATTAGTGAGTGGAAAAAATGTACTTCATGAGGGCCTCCCCACATCCCTTATCAAATTGCACACTATCTGTAGACATCCAGGTAAACTTTGCCATCTCAACGGAGATTTCTTTCTTGCAGGTCTGGCAATATTCTCAAAAGAAAATTCAAACAAGTAAGTAGAAAAGCAGTTTTCTATTATAATGAAGACAATGCAGTTGAGATTTTACACATTATCACCTTGGGGGGAGTTATCTGTTGTCGTTATCTTTGAGAGACACTTTTCTTTTCATTTTAGGTATGTGGTGCATTCATACAACTTTTTTCTCTTTCCCTCAATGCTGGGAGTTAGGGATGTCGAATTCACCCTCTCTGCATCTAGCATTCAGTTCCTGTCTCATTATGGCTTTGACTACAATAAGGTATGTAATCTCTCTGCCAGAAATCCAGAAGATAGGAAATCTGTGCAATTACAGAAGAAATCAGGATTAGTATCCCTAAACACTTTTCTGGGGTAAATAGCATCTTGCTGAATGCATCATGTAGTTAATTATCAACAGGGATAGTGAGTCCTGTTTTTTCTGAACCAGTGTAGAGGCAATAACCACATCTTTGTCAGGTTAAGACAGATTTTCCTGCCTCAAAAAACAAACAAAAACCCCAAAACCCCACCTATCTCTGGTGAGCTGATGAGTTACTAAACAGACCCCCATGGGTGTCTTTAATAGCCATGACGTTGGGGAAGTATCAGTTTACCTGTGTCTTATGTATTGCCACATTTCTCATTAAATTCAGACTATGGCATCCCATAAGGGTACTAGTTTGCAGTTTTGGACAGAAAGTATCTGGTGTCTTGACACTTGGAAGTATCTTATTAAAGGAAAGGAAAAAGCAGAGCAAAAAAATTATTCCAGTTGACAAAAATCCTTTTCTTTCCTCCATACATGTTGGATTGCCTACAGTTTGTTTGCCCTGGCTAACCTGCTAATTCTCTAATGTACTGCAAGAAAATCCAAGGGAACATAACCAACCTGGCATTTTTCTCCCCCTCAGTTCCTGAAAGATGGAATCCCATACATGAATGAGGTACAGGAGAAGATCCTTAGGCAGCATCTCTTAGCAGGTAGCTGGACATTCCACAGGTGAGCACTATTCAGAGTGATGACTCCTCAGTACTGACTGTGTTGACGGCTCAGCTTCACTCAGATCACGTTTTGTAGAAATGCTGAAGCCTATTGGTCTGAACGCCTTGGTGCCAGCTGTTCCAGCATGCTCTGGTCTCTCTGAAACAAAACTGAGATCACAGGATACGATGTGGAGAATTGGGTGAATGTTGGGAAATGATGCTTTTGCATTCCCACAGCAAGGCACAAGGTTTCATCTGTAAAGAGCATTTCTCACACCTGCCTCTTTCCCCCTCATCCAGCACTAGTGCTGCGAACAGGGATGTGCTGAGGAAAGCTATTGATGAAGTGACCTGTTGGATAGCTGTAGCAGAGGAAGAGGAGACTATGATTCTGCAGGATCTGAGTGGTATGGAACAGGGTGCCTCCCTTAGGCACCTGTGGGCTCTGAGTGGCTTCATCACTTCCGAACCTCTGGGGCTGCTACTGTCCTTTGCTGCCCGTTCTCTTAAACTGCTCTCTTGAGAGGGAAAGCACCAGTGCCCATCTTGCCTTTGCAACTCTTTACCTAAGTTTACACCTCAGTTCCTGTCAGTTCATCTCTGCGCTCTGCTTTTCTGCTCCTTTGGGATGGTGGGTCTTTCCGAAGTGGATGTCTGGGTGCTTGGAGCATGCTTTGTTGCAATTGACTTCCATTTTGTGCTTCTTCAGAGCAGCAACTGTCTAGAAAAATGTGTTTTCCTTAAGAGGGTTGTCTGCACCTCTGAAGCTTTTACTACCTTTTTCCTTTTATTTTTGTCACAGACTGTCATGTGCTTGAAGTTCAGCTAGTTCTGAGGCAGGCTCTCCAAAATGTTTGGACGGAGCCTCTTGGAAACAAGAAGGTGAGATGGAAATGTGGACCTTTGAAAAGAGGATTTCTATCTAGACAGATAGGACTGACATTCTTGCAGGGATTCTGAAATGTTGCTTGTACTTTTAATGATAGGCTCTAGGAGGAGAAGACAATGTTCTGGGAAATGTTGATTGTGGGATAACCAGAAAAGGTATACAGAAAACTGAGCAACTCTGGTTTCTATTTGTTCAGTAGCCACAGAACACATTGAACTGGAATGCTTATCCTTGGGGCACTTCTGAAGGGACCCTCTCTGTGTCTTTACTCGTTTTTTTCTTCAATATCTCCACAACAATGTACAGTTTTAGTCTTTTTTGTGGTTTTCCTTAGCTGACTTTTGCCATGTAGTTCCTTTGAAGACTTTTCCTCTCTGTTATATGATCTACTGTTTAGCTATTCGCTACTGCTGTTTAGCATTTGGTGCAATATTTTCTGTATTAAATGTATGGCTGTGGACTTCTCAAACCATAGCATGAGTGTGATACCAGTCAGTTGTTTAGAAGTAGTTTACAGAAATCTTTTTTTTTTTTTTTTTTTTGTATTAATCCTATTTTGGTCTGATAACCAATGTCAACCGTGGCAGATTTACTCAGCCTTATCATCTGAAACATTGCTTTGGGGACTCAGTTTGTGTGGTTGCTGTTTGGTACTGAGTTTTTGATGCAATGAAGTTACCATATTGGTATCAAGTTAAATTGAACTACGTTTTATTTGTGCTCCAAAATAACCAAGTGGTTCCTACCAATGGTCTTCCTCTTAAGAAGGAAAGCATTAATAAGACACCCTTAGAGCAGGTCCCTTTAGTTACTGGAACACTGATCTCCATATAGAAGTGAGACAGTCCCAAAGTCCCAGGGGATGCACAGTTTCTCCGTCCTTTGCAGCCTTGAAGCTGAACTTGATCAGCATTACTGAACCCCAGTGTGCTAGTACATAAAACTAACATGGCAGGCTGACATACTCAATGACTGTTCTTTCCAGGTAATGGTGAAAAAAGTGAGTCCACAGCATCGTCAGCTTCTGGAGAACTCTTCCTGCGACCCCTGTCAGACAGAGCTCATTCTCCTGTCTGCCCGCGGCTTCACCAACCTCTTCCAGATACTTGTTGAAGCCAAGAAGGTAAAATGCCTTATCCCTACTCTCATTTTCCATGTCTTTTTAATTTGCTGTGTTAAATGCAGTCTTAAAAATCCTGGTTTTACACAACGTGAGTCACCATCTAAGAAAACTGAGCAGATTCTTGCCTTTTGAGTAAGTTATGCTGAATTTCAGCATGTGACAGACCAGTTTGTTGGACCATGTAGACCATTGGTCTGACTTTGTGTGGAAATTCTTATGTTCCGTATGCAGCTTATTAAATGGATTTCAGCTTCAGAAGACTGTGGGTGATGTGCAAGCAAAGACTGTCCCTGCCCTTGTGAGTGAGTGTATAAATCTCATGGCTGGAACATTTTACCAATGTTCAGCTGAACTGAAAATCGGCCTAGCTCCTCAGGTCCACTGACAATAGAATGCTGCAAAAAAAATACTCTCCTCAAAGTCCACAAGTCCGATTTCCTGGAAGCAGTAGTCCTCCTGTGAGACTTGCAGCCTGAATGACTCTGGACAAGCGTGTGTAGATCTGTCTGCTGGAGGAAAGGGTTACAGCTGTTGCTTGCCTAAAGTTGGTTATCTCTGACCTCTCTTCAGAAATATGTTCCAATGGGCTGTTATGTTTGTGTTCTTCCCGTAGCCCCTGGTGGGACACAACATGCTTATGGACCTTATGCATCTTCACGACAAGTTCTACAAGCCCCTTCCAGGTAATGCTGTGCATAGATGCTGTCCCAGGCTGCAGCCTTTGCAGTGGGGGTGGAACAGGAGGCACAGTGGCCTTTGGCCACCTCAGACACTCACAAGTGGAAGTGGTAGTTGGCTCTTCTGAGCCCCAGCTGCTGGAGCAGTGTATCGTTGTCTGCCTTCACCTCTGTTTCCTATGAATTTGTTATTCCATTGGCTTTTCCCCAGTTTTATGATGCCTTTCCCCACATGTGTTTTGCTTTCAGAAAGTTATGAGGAGTTTAAAAGGAACATTCACAACCTGTTTCCTGTCCTCATAGACACCAAGACTGTAACAAAATCTATGAAGAAGGTGAGATGCACAGGTCTCTTTGTTTGGAGTTAAAGCTTGTTTTTCACCCATAAGAGAGAATATCTTTCCTGAGTGCCCTGTGGTTACAGAATTGGAACTAGTTGTCAGTGTTGCCCTGGGACACTCTAATTTTAGATCCAATTTAATGAATCATCAGTACAAGTAACTGAGTTATTGTTGAGGTTAGTTACTGAGTGAGTTAATGAGGTCTGTCTTGGTTGATCTTCCAACATTCTTCTTTTCTAGAATTATCTGATTCCTCGAGTATCTAGTCTTTTGGAGGCGTATACAGTTTTGTGCAGGTAAGTGCTGGGCAATATAGCTTTCAGCAATCCCTCTGTTTTCTTTGGAAAGATATTCCAGTCATTTCATATGTTCGTACTTTCTCTCCTCCCAAATGTTTTTCTATTGGTTTCTTGTCTTTCTAAATTTAAGAGCAAAAGATGTGCTCATCTTTCTTATAAAATAATTGTGTAGTAAATTATTTGTTGTAAGTGACTTCTGATATTGTATCACCATTACTTCATTTGTCACAAGTTTGGTTTGCAGACAGCTGTACGTGCATCTTGAAAATTATGTTGCTTATGTCGTGTTCTGAAATGAATAAGTTTCAGTTCTTGGTGAAAATACATCCTAATTTCAAATCCCTTCTCCTAAGAGAGGGCTGCACTGAGCCCAAAGCCGTAACTAAATAAAATGTTCAAGTGGAGCACATGAGTAGGTACCGTATCTCATGAGCTTAGTCTGATGTGGTAGAAAACTTCTTCTATTTTACGCTTCTTTTGTGGCTAAGTTTTTTTATGTTAATTTTGCTAAGGAAAGCAAAATTTTGCCTCCTTGCCCTTACCCCTTGCTCCCAAGGAGGAGATGCAAAATGAGTATTTGATCAAAACAGTAATGGGATGCTAAAGGTTTTGTTTGATTGTTTCTTAGCAGTTTCAGACTACAGATTCTCAGAAGTTTTATGGTTGTTGATCTTTCTTTTATTTCAGTCATTCCATGGGTGCCTGTTTATCCTTCAGGGTTTCCCATTCAAATAGAACCATCTAGTCAACCTCTTTCCTTGGAGTTTTCGTTCTGCTCACATTTTATATATGCAATTAGACCAAATTTGCTGGTGACACATTTTGAGTGAGGGAAGAGGCTGAAGAAGTATTTAGGGTATTTAGAAGTATTAGAAGTTAGTTTTCAGAAAGAAAACTGGTAGATATTATTCAGCTAAGCATTTTAGCCTTTTCATAGAATACTACTAAAGCTCCTTTTAAACTCTTCAGTAACTTTTTCTGAAATGAAGCTACAGATCACTAGAGAACAGTGACTTGTCTGTAATATACTGAGGAAAGACAAAAATCTTACACATCCACTTGTCTTCAGCAGCAGCGTAAATCCCAAAGATCCACTGTGGCCAGTTATAGTTCTTGCAAGTGACTGCTCAAGATACGGTATGTTCCTCAGCAAATCCTCAAAGTTGGGTAGCTAAAAGGGATTTGTTTTACTCTGTGGATGACCACGTGCAAAGTATGGATGAGTGCCACTGGGTCAGCTGAATTTGCAGAGAGGTGCTGATACACGTTTTTGTCCAGACCCAAAGCTTGGGCTCCCAATGTTGTGCATGTCCCTGGTACCTGCTGAGGGTAATGCAGGGCAGGTTTGCATCATGCTGCACCCACAGACAGCATCTACAGTAGGTTGGGCTGAGCCTGACTTGTGGCTGTAAAGAGTCAGTAGCCCTTGGAAAGGGCAAGGCAAGTGGGGAAACAGCTGTCCTAGAAGGGAAAGTAGTGGGAGCTAATGACAAGGAAGTCCTGTAAAGTAAGAGGAGCTTGGTGGCTGGTGTGTGTGCAGGGTTAGTGGTGCTGTGTGTGCAGGAGGTTGTGTCCAGTATGTGGTGTGATACGGGCAGATGTTTTCTGGCTTCTCCCGGCAGCTCTGCAGCACAGGGCCTCCTGTGTTTTGAAATAGTTCCCATACCATCAATAACATACACAACACAGTTTGGTTTAGATCTTCATAGAAGTTAAAATTTTTTCATGTCCATCTTGCTAAGCTTTTCAGACATTAATGTAATTGCAGCCTTTTTGTTGATATTGTTTTAAAATGCTTGGGAGAAGCACAGACTTTCTACAGAGTGTGAAGTTTTCAGGTGAGGAAGGAAACAGCTGAGGGTGGGGGGTAAAAAAACCTCCAGAACAGTAGATCTTATGAATGTTACGATTCTGCAGTGCAGCAGTTTTCAGAGTATGCTAAATGTGTTTACTACTTTTTGATTTTGTTGGACACTTACAGCTGAGAAGGAATCTCCTCATGAAGCTGGCTATGATGCATTTCTCTGTGGTTCAGGTAAAATGCTTCTTAAACATTCCTTCAGAAACTGTGTTGGGACTTGGCAATTCCTTTCCTGCTCTGTAGCTCTATTTGGTGCTAAGAAATATTTGTTTATATACAGTCTGTTGCTCTTAGTAACTTAGCTGCACTTTAGTGAATTTTAGCTTTCTATTTATTTAGGTATGTTTCTTTAGCTTTGTTCTAATGCCACCTCGTTATTCCTTCTAGTTCTTCTGATGTCAGCTCATTTGCTACTGCGCAGATCCACCGAGTAAGTGTTTACTGAAAATTGTGTTACGTGGATAGGTCCTATTGAAAGCCGTCATCTGTTTGCTCTGACTTTTTTTTTTTTGCAGGCTGTCCTTCCTTTTTGATAAAAGAAAGTGTTACTGGAAATGTCATGTTCTAATTAGATTTTTATTTTATAAATCTGAAAGTAGTAGCTTTATGTCAAAGCTGACATTTTAAAAATGAAATCGGGCCATGCGATGGCTCAGAGGTTGGGAAATGACATAGTGACTTCTTTATCCTTGAATGAGCTCTCTCAAGTTCAATTCACTTGGGTAAGGGTCAAATAATTTTCCATTAGTTTCCATTTTTGAAACCTCTGTGAATCAGTGCCTTCACTTAACTTCATAAGAGGCAACTGTTCAAAACCCTTCCTTTTGCTTGCAGCTTTTTGACATCTGTAAGAGATGCCAAGATCTAAAATACCTATTTTTTTCACTGGTTGAAGAGCTTGACACTGTGCAGCAGTGCAGCACTGGGGAAAAACAAAACTTTGTTCTGTTTTGTTTTTTGATTTAGTGATGCAGTGGAGGCTGATCCTTCTTTCTCGCAGTATCTCACCGCGTTAGCTGAGCATGTGAACCAAGTGAATTTCATACGAGGTGGCGTTTCAAGCATTGTGCGTATGAATTGCAGGTCTGTGACCAGTTTGTGGGGTGCACAGGTCAGTAGCCTAGTTGGTGGCTTCATAAGAGGAGAAGAATCCACCTGTGTGCTGCGGCCCACCTTGGCAGAAAATTGTCATCATACAAGTGACACAACGGACCTCTTGAAACGGCAAATGAGTTGAATTTCTGCTTTGTGAAATGTATTCATATTGTTATTCTGTAAGATGGCACTAGTCAGTTTATGTTGCTGTTTCTCTGGTGGTTTCTCCGTGGTGATCATGGAGAAGTTTGCTTTTATAACTGATGAATCTTGGGCCAAAAGAAAAATAATTTTATACCAACAGCTGTATTTTAAAACTTGTTATTTATTTGTCACATTCTGCATATTTTCTGATTATATTAGTAATGTTTCTTTAGTATTCCTGAATTCAGATATGTCTCAATATTGTATATTTATTTTCCAGAATTTTTCCGGGGAAGATGCTCCCTGCCATCGTCCCCCTGCCTTGGTTGTTCATGTCCAAGGCTGGCCAGGGCTGAACGAGAGACAGATTTACCAGGAGTTTAAAGGTCTTTGTCGCTTTGATGTCAGACGGCTTTCAAAGAACCAGTTCATTCTGCTCTCCAATAAATACAAGCAGTAAGTGATCAGAAAGTCTTAATTTTTTGTCCTTTGCTCCTCTGATCCAAGTCTTCATCCCAGCCTCTCTCTGCTGTGGCAACTCTTAGATAGAGATTCCTGCCCTGAGCTGTGGAATGCTGTAAGAAGCCTGCAAGCCACGGCTCAAGACATGTGCTTTCATTGCAGCGTCAGGCTTGTCCTGCGGGATTACAAGGACCACCCTCACCTGCAGGTTTCCGTCTATCGCCACTGGAGGCACTCTCCACGTGTGAACTGCCTGCTGCAGTGAGTTGCGGGAAGCACAGGAATGGGGAGCGGGGGAAGCGTTCTTTTCAGGGTCCAAGGCCCTATCACGGCAGCACATTTGTTCTCCTGCGCCAGCCCCTCAGGGGAGCGAGGGGCTCAGAAGCAGGTTTGCTTGCTGACTGCTGGGTGGCTACTTGGGAGCTCTCAGCCCTGGGCAACTGGACTTTAATCTTGAATTGAAGCTTAACAGGGAATGTTACCCCACAGTTAGCACGAAACTATGTATATGCTATCATAACAGACAGGTGGTTATCTTAGTGAGTGTAGTGCCATCTCTAATAAGCTTGATGAGAGGGACACAGAGTCTCCCAGGTGTGGGATGGATGTGGGTTTTTTTCTACAGCCGAGTTGAAAGCTTGATAGTGGCAGAGATTTCCAGATTCAGAGTGCACTCTCCTTGTGAGGTGGTGACAGTGATGCTGACGTGGTTTGGAAAAAAATCTCAGGGCTTAATATGACCAAAATTATACCCTTTTATTAAGTAGCCTAACAGCATTTTGTTATTCTTGCCCTTTTTAGAGTCTCTGGTATTGTGGCACTGTGGTCGCTCTTGGCCTTTGTACTTGGAGGAGCTCCTAGCTGTTCACTCTAAAGGACTGCCTTGGAGATGAGACATGAGGAACACAGATCTTATTTCTTGTATTTGTGTTTTGTTTAATTTCGTTCAATAAACTATTAGCAAAAAAAACCCAAACTTCAGAGCTATGAATCCTGTTTGAATTGTTTTCTTGCAAATGTATTTTTAAAGAGGATGTGTTGGTTTCCAATTTGTGGTATTTTGTAATCTGTTCAAAGCATCACTCCCTCTTGAAGAGGGAGATGATTCTTTCAATGCCTAATTTACTTCAGTCCTCTGTTGGTTCTTCACAGCTATTCATAACCCCAGTTTGTTCCCAGTGCTTGTGCTTGCTGCATAAGACACATTTCTGATGAAGTTCAGGAAGTTATGAAATGAAAGAGGTATTTTTAGCTTCAATTGTAAAGCAGGGGAAATGTCACTGTTTACCAAATGAAAATGGGTGGAGTTAATGGAGAAACCACTCTTGGGGCTCATGACAAATTCTGGGGACTAGTAAATAAGTTGCAGTGCTGTCAGTGCAGTATTATTTTCAGTGGCCATGCAGCTGAGGATTGACACAGATAAGCAGAATTTATCAGGTTCCAATTTGTAATATACACAGGTCAGGTGAGTCAGCACGCATTTCTGTTTGCTTCTGGTGCACAGCACATGAGCAGTCCTTTACCCAAAATAGCATGAGACGTGCCTTGTGGATCAGTTTCTGTCGATATAGCTGGAGTATTTGTCAGTTCAGGAACTTTGGTCTTCAGAGGTTTTTCTTATTAATTTCCTTCTCTTCTTAAAAACAACCTGCTGATGCAGGGTTTCCAAATAATGGTCCCTAGCTGTCATTAGTCAGACTTAATTGGATGGGGCCTGTAATCTGTAAGGTGGGAGTTGCTACAGGGCACCTAAAGGCAGCAGCATGGCACTGCGGTGTGCCTAAGGATCACGTACTCTGCTGCTGAGGGGCTGCTGCTTTGCTGCTCCTTGGGAAACAAGGACAGCACATCTTCGGATGTGGTTCTCGAGCTCTGCACAGCTTGTGGTTTACCAGCTCTTGTTTCGTAAACAAGCTCCTAGCAATATAAGTACTTGACTTCTTGATGACTTTTTTTTAACCTCTTGAGTGATGGGCTTCTGTCAGTGTTCCTTCAAATACCAGTACAAGTATCTCCCTGTTTATTCTGTAATGTTTTTATTTGTCTTTTAGCATCATTAGACACCCCCCTTGTGTCAAGAAGAGCACAGGCTCTGTTTATTATGTAGATTTAGGAGAATATTCACTGGGTGTTACATGCAGTAGCATGTGTTTTCCCATAAAAACACTCTTCTTGGCCTATGATCTGGGAAACATTGTTCTGGGACCCCTTGTTCTCTGGGGTCTAGATTGATTTGGCTACTTAAACAGGAGGAGACAAAGCCTTACTTGCATCTAATTCTTCCAGTCTGGGGATCATTAAGCTAGAGGTGCTGTTAACTCTGAGAAGCCCAGCAGTATTGAAGGGAGCATGCACTTTGAAGGAACAAAGAAATTGTTCTGTCATTAAATTTTGTTCCCTTCTTCCTGCTTTCTTCTCTTAGTAGCACACTGATAAATAATGAGTTAGTTCCCTGCAGTGCTGTTCTCTCTCTTGGCTTACCCTCTAGAGAAACGCACTTCCCTGTGGATGAAAGTAGAGATCCTTTCATCCTATTTGGAGAAATAGCATATGGGTCTGACCATGCCTTTTCCCCTTCCAAGGGACAGACGCCTCACGTAGCAACATAGTGTAGCAGTGAATCAAGAGAATTGGCTTTCCTGCATTACAGCTGGGAGAAATTACAAGTAACAATTGTAACAAAAGTAGGTTCCAACTGTAAATCTGTTAAGTTTCCATGCAGAGTAAATACACGAAGAAGAAACTGAGAGCGGGTTGAGTATATTCTGATCTCCTTCCTAGGGGAGAGTTTACAGGAAAAAGTTGCCTGTCTGTAATAGTTGAGGGTCACTTGCTGCTCAGAGCCTCTTGAAGAGATTGATCAGATGTACTAGCAGTCAATTCCTATGGAAGGAATTGGGGACTGGTCTAACGAAGCAGAGCAGAAACATTTGGCTATGGGAACAGAGCTGCCAGTTTTTCTGAGCAGGCGTTGATCAAGGCAAAATCTTCCTGAACATGTCACAGAATCACAGAATATTCTGAGTTGGAAGGAATCCTCAAGGATCATCAAGTTCAACTCTTAAGTGAATGGCCCATACAGGGATCAAATCCATAACCTTGGTGTTATTAGAACCATGCTCCAACCAACTAAGCTGACGTATGAGGTATGGAAAAGGCAAAATTCTCTAAGTATTCCTCTGTCCTTGCTGCTGCTTCATGGCTTCAGTGGTGATATGCCAGATACACACTGGCACTGGTGGAGAGCAGGATGTACCTCTTAAAAGGTATTCTTTTCATATGGAAGAAAATTTTATATACTTCATGTTTTGTAATGGTGTGAATCAACAATTCTTAACATTATGCTTTCATTCCAAAGACATCACAAATGAAAACCTTGGTGCATCTTGGAAGGGCAAAGTTGCAGATGTCTTGCTGGATGAATCAAGTGCAACAGTCCAGTGCCAAGTGCCAGCACTGCTTACCCCCTGGTGGGAGGGACCCTCACAAGCCAGAATGGCTTTGGCTCTATCACAGCACCAGAGCTGGGTCAGAACTTTGTGTGCTGATGAAGCGAGTAATGAATTTTCCATATGCCTTAGACATGGGAAAAGCCTACTGTGCAACTGCTCTGTTAACACATTTTTGTGGTGTTCTTTTTTATGCAGCAGCAAATCTGACTTTTATTTTCTGGTTTTGTCTCCCTTTTTCCCATGGCTTTTCCCAACAGCCCTTCTCCAACTGGTTGCTGTAGTCTCCAGGACCAGAGAACCACCCCAAGAAGACTAATAGAGGGGGCAGTGCATGAAATGGTGTAGGCATATTTCTTCCAACAACCCTAATGCTTAGGGAAAAGGGGATGATTACACCCAGTCTGACACAAGGGACCATTGGAAGGGGAGTGTTTTGTCAGCACAGTCGCCTCAGAAAGGCAGCTGTGTTAAGGAGACATAGACCAGCAGTGCTGGGGAAAGCACAGATCTCTGGTCTCTTGCTTTGCTGGAGATGTGGCATGCCTCCTGGTGGGGGTGGCTGACAAATGAGATGGCTGGCTCACAAAGCTGTCACCTGAGCAAGCCCACACATCCCCAGGAGTGCGGCATTTTACACAAGTATATTACATTCCTCTTGAACCACAAAAGTATATGAAAGCACCAGGGATTTTGGGGGAGGGAGGGAAACTGACTTCAAGCCCCACCTGTGCCCCCAGAGACAGGTGGAGCTCATGGAACAGAAGATGAACAAGGATTGCTGTGGTGCATGGACTGGAAGGAGAACACATGCAGGTAGAGGTGATGGAAAGACTTTTCTTCCAGAGGCTCCTGAGGAGCTGTGAGTTTGTTGCCAGGTAGGAGGGCATGAAAAGTGGGAAAAAGTTGTAGTTGCCAGGCTGCATGGGGAATGAGAGAGAGTTTGTGCCCAGTTTCTCTTTTCATGCTTTCTGTTACTGCAGGAGCTACCTTGTTTAAGCTTGTGGTTTCAACTGGTTTTAACAAAACCAGTGCTTAATATTATGAGAGTGCCTTCAGGTTTCCCATACAGGAAAGAGCTTGTCATGGTTCCAGCTCTGAGAGGTATCTGGGCTGGGGTTACTTGCTTTGAAGCACAGGCACTCTATGCAGAAGCACTCCTACCTGATATTCAGACCCCTGCTCAGCAGCTTGGGCAGCGGAATGAGACTCAAGATCGTTGGGGAGGGGGGATTCAAATGTGCCTTTCCCATCAGCATCCTAACAAGTAGGTGAGTAGTTGAATGCTCTTGCGATTTCTCCCTATCCAGGTGAGCATATAGAGATGAACAGACTGATCTTTCACCACAGGCAAGATGAAGATGGGATTCCTGCACCCCTTCCTTCCCATGTAGGACAGCCAAGGGCCCCCTCCAGACACAAAAGTGATTTACATTGGTTCTTCTGTTTTTCCCATAGACCTAAACAAGACCTTCCACAGCTAAGTTTCAAAAGAAAATGCCGACAGCAAGTCTGTTGGCAGAGAACCTCATGTCAGTGATGTAAGTTAGGCTGGTTTTTAAAATACCTGTGGGATGGAAATCTGCAAGAGGTAACAGTTACAACACAGAAGAAACACATCCAATTTAAAAGGAAAATAAAAAAAGAGTGCTATTTAAAACACATCAGTGGGTTATTCAACATCACCAGGCACACACAAATTGAGGAAATTCTAAAGTACTTCCAAGTCTGGACGTGGTCCAAGCCACTGACACTCCTAGAGTTTACCTGTGTTTCTAAGCAGTGAAAGAGTAATCTGCAATCCTCAGTCTGAATTTTGAAGTAATACAACTATTTTATTTGCCCCACAGAACTTGGCTGTAGTGTTTGGACAGAGCTGTTGCATGTTCTGACCTTGCTCTAAAAGATGCTGCTAGAAATTTCTGCTTTGCCTCCAGCTTCTGGTTAACAAAGTTAATGCTGTCTTAATTCTCACAATTTAAGAAAGCTGCTTGCTTTCAAGTGCAAGGCTTGTTTGTTCACTCACCCCCTGGAACTCATCTGTCCTGTACGTGAAACATGTACAACAGACTTTGCCATTCCTACATAAATGTGAGGATTTGCAAACCCACAGGCTCCCACAACTGCCTGCAGTGCTCAAACTTGCCCCCTCCCCTGGGATGCAGGACAGAAGCAGCTTGATGTAATTGTTCCACAGGGCCACTGGGTCATGGGAACCGATGCCACAGGAGACATACTCGTCTCCTGGGCCTCCCTTGGGGTCCTACAGCCTCCAGAAGCTGGGCTGTCTCCAGGGAATAGACTGGGGCTGGCTGCTCAGCAAGGGGTGTCTGGAGGCTCTCTGCAGCCAGAGGCATCCCTGTGGAGGGGGAATGCTCTTGCTCTACATCTTGTTCTATATGTACCATAACTTAGCACAAGAGTAGAGCATAGTGATGGGGGAACAGAAGCACAATCAGAGCTCTTCTTAATCCCATAGGACCTGGTGCCATTTTTAGATTCCCAAGTACTTGTACAGCCTGGCTG